CCTGGGTTGTGGTTCACTCCCCGCCCCCCATCAGGGCTTGTGAAGGAGGCAACCGGTCGGTGTGTCTCTCTTACATCAATGTTTCTCTCTCCTTCCTTCCCTCCTTTCCAGTCTCTGAAAAGCAATGGAAAAAAATACCGAGTGAGGATTAACAAAAAGAAAGAAAAAAGCACGACAGGGACGTTTAAGTAGAGTGTAAAGGAGCCAATTATGGAAGGGCTGAAAGGTGAGTATGGACGGAAATAACTGTGTAGCAGTGGTAGTTGGGAGCTTACTACCAGAGAGAAGCTTGAGTCAGGAGCCCAGGGCTCTAATATCAGCTCTGCAATTCCCTGTCCATGTAGTCTTGAAAAAGTCACCTCTGCGCAAAGTATGTTTCTTCATCAACTGAATGCAAATAATACCACCTGCCCTGCCTGTCACATGGGGCTGTAGTTAAAATCAAGTCAGATCTTTCCATAAAGATGCTTTGAAAACCATAAATGTGATGCACTGTTAGTCCCTGGGAGGGAGGGCTAAGTTCTAGCCAATGCAGAGAGACTGACCTGTGCAGAACTGAGCTGCATGTGGCATAGAATTCTCTTTTCCACATTCTCCCGAAAGCGAATCTCGTACAAAGACTCGGCCATTCTGTCACCATCCAGCACTTCACCCAGGCTAAGGCTTTTGTGTCGTATCTTCTCAGGGCAGCACACTGGAAGCTGATAGTAGTGGTAAGTCTCCTGAGGGTTATGGTAGGGTCCCACTTTGTTGACATACAGAATGACAGGGTCGCCGGCTTTGTAGTGTGTCACACCTGCCACCCCCGGCTCATGGCTTGTGCTCAGCAGCAGCATCAGGAGTGGCAACCACTGGCAGCTCCAACTTCTAGGGGGCCCTAGGACTGTCATCCTTAAGGCAGTGGAACCTGTTTGGGAGAGTGCTGAGGTTATGGAAACCAGCAATCAACTCATGACGCCCCAAGTCAAGAGCTCAATGATTGCAATTCCTCCCATTGGCGCATCCGACCTTCTCTCAGAAAGCCATCTCCGGATCCCCTACACCACACCATGCTTCTATTCCAAAGACTGGGCTGCACCTCTGCTCTCTTGTCCTCAACCCGGGCTTCCCCCGCTTCCAAGCCCACCTGCTCCGGGCTCCCCCTCCCCCTTCTCCCCCTCC